AAAGTCTGGTTAGGAGGTTATGGGGATGTTTTGGGCAATCTACTGGGGTCTATAATTAAGGAAAAAATGTTAAGAACCCCTTAATATATATAATATTATTGGGGAGGATGTGTTTTGTGAACTACTTATGCAAATGTACAAGCACAATAGTTTTTTAAGTCAAAACTTGAAAAACATGCTGCACAGGCCAGTTCTCCAAAGCAACTAATCAGAATATAATCAGTTACAATAAACAGCTCATATATGGTTGCCATAGTTTACTAAACATCACTAAATGTCTATATTAATATTTACCATGTCATAGCACTTCGGTTTAAACATTTCACATACATATTGCTTTGAAGAACACTAAATCTGGCCATACACTATACAAAATGATTGCACAATCTCTGTACAATCTTCTTTGAAACTATGCAATAGGACGACATATCTGAACAATGCATTCAACTTGTATCAAATCAGGCAGGTCCTACGTAGTTGACGATAGATTGAAAGGGGATTGTACAATCAGATTGTATGATATAGTGCAACCTTAAGGATTCATTTGCATGGGCAACATATACAGGATCCTCGTTCTGATCTATGTTTCTACTGCTATTCTGGGAAAGGGGGCTAAAATGATTAATGTTCTAGCGCTGTTCAACTTTGTATGCACAGTTCAGATTGTTATGGCACGCCTTGTTCAATACCTTTTTTTTCAAACTTTTTCTGAAATGGTCAGATGTATTTTGGCATGTTTTTTCAGAACACGAACAGCATTAGTTGAAGCCTTTCTGAAACACCATCTTATGGGCTCGCATACTTAACTAGTTACTGTCCGGCTGTTATTTCTCTATATGACGTCCTCCCAGAACTCCCAACGGGCCGTGAGGTGGTATGATCTGTCACCAGCTGCCGGTACCATGTGATCGCTGTGACCAACAGCAGATCAAATGACAGTTGTACACAATGGCTGGCTTTCATTCATGCCATCCATTGTGTTGAGCTCTGTGATTTGGTCACAGTGATCACATGGTACAGACAAGGCCAATCACAACCCATGTGTACCATGTGATTAGCTATGCCAAATCACTAGTGGTGCACCAAAATGAAAATTCTGGTGACAAAACCGAAAATTCAGGATGCGCTTTGCCGAAAACCGAACGCGAAATGGACAGTTTTTAAAAATGAATATATTTATTTTAATACACTTTAATGAATAAAAAACCATCCATATATACCGCAATTGTTTTGTAAAATATGAAAGATGATGTTACGCCGAGTAAATAGATACCCAACATATCACGCTTCAAAATTGCGCATGCTTGTGGAATGGCACCAAACTATGGTACTTAAAAATCTCCATGGGTGTATTTAAAAATTTCTACAGGTTACCAGTTTAAAGTACAGAGAAGGTCTAGTGTGAGAATTATTGCTCTTGCTCTGACGTTCGCGGTGATACCTCATATGTTTGGTTTGAACATCATTTACATATGTGGGTGTGTCCTGAAATTCACTGGTATAAGCAATCATAATGTATAAAAAAAAATCTTGAACACTTTCCCAGAGTAATACTATGTTACTATGGTGAGAACAAAAATCGTAAAAAAAAAGAAAAAAAAATGTTTAAAAACTGAAAGAAAATGACTGATTTTTAATTTTATTTTTACATACTGTCACCAGTCCGTGTCCCTAATCACTGCCACATCAGTTATATGATACTGTACTGCACTGGTGACAGTATGGAAAAAAAAAATTATGACAGCTTCATTTTCCAAAAAATCACAACTTCAAAAAAACTCAACAGGCATCTTACCAATTACATTGGACTGTCTACTTTTTAAAATGGGGGTCAATTGGGGGATATTCATACCGTCCCGATGTTTATGAGCCTCAAGAAATGGCCTAGTTTTTTTGAAGAAATATTATTTATGTGCATAATTTTATAACAGAAATGAAGAAAAACATTCTTTTAAACATTTTCAGTCTTTTTTTTTTTATCTAGAAAAAAATTAAAAAAACTGTGGTGATTACCACCAAAATAAATCTCTATTTGTGTAAAAAAATGATAATAAATTCATATGGGTACAGTGTTGCATGTCCACACAAATGTCATTCAAAGTGCAACATCTTTGAAAGCTGAAAATTGGCCTGGGCAGGAAGGGGGTGAAAGTGCCCGGTGAAGTGGTGAAATGTTTAACTTCATCCAACCTAGAGATCATGAATTACACATGCTATAAAAATATTATCATACAAGTCTTTCTGGAAACAGTCTGAAGAGGGACTCTGTAATTTAGTGAAATTGATCACCACATGTAAAGAGATGTAGACAGCCTGGTAAATACTAACAGGTTAACAGCTTACTAACGACCCTCATAAATACAGGCTGTTCAATGAATGTTAGCCTTTAATTTGATTTATAATTAAAACCCATGAAAACACTCAGAGGACAGATATTGATGGGTCAGATGAGACAGGAAAAACTTCAAGGGTTGGAACAATATCACTGAAAAAGTGTCTACCTATTTGAAAAGACACTGGGAACAAACATGCAGTAGCAATCCATGTTGACCAATCAAGTGTTATCCTTAAAGCAGAATTTAAGTCAATGCTTTCCTCTCCTTCAATGGTCCAATGTCCATTGCTGGACTCTTCTACCATGCTTCTTCCAGGTACCAGGCTATGGCCATATGCATGGGTCAGTGCGGGATGACTCCACTCCTGCGCATGCTGAGCCTGAAACTGAGCTGCACTTACATTAAAGAATACTGTGAGAGCAGGCTGGTAGGTATATTGCAGAAGAGACTTCCCATTTCTCTTCTGCAATAAAGAACCTGCCTTCTGGAGAAGAATTTAGTTTGGCTTACAGTTGACCTAGCATAAAATGTAATGTTTCATTGTAAGTGAATATGTGCCATGTAATGTATAAGTGTATTGCGTTACCAGCCACAGGGATCCCAGCATTCCCCCTGACTATGCTTTCATCTGCTTTCCTCTTCAGAAGTACAGGGGCATCTTTGTACATGTACTATCCAGGGTTAAAAGTGTATGGCCAAGAAATACGTTTACCCAACTTCCCTTCTGCCTTGAAGCACACTTTCCATTCCCTTTACTGCCCCACTGTTCTGCCAGCTGCTGAGAGCAAACCCTGTGCTCCCATGTGCCAGCGGGCCAATCACTAAACATCAGCACTGTCATGTGGAAGGAAGTGGAGCAAGTCACGTTACTCCATACTGGAACCTATCAAATCTTTATCAAATAAGGCACTTCCTGATGACGAGCTATTGGTCGAAACGCGTCGAGGTTTGATGACACAACTTCCGCCGACGTCGCTTCTGCCCTTTGGAACGCACGCTGGAACACGATGGCCGTCTTTGATTCCATTCACAAGCAAAAAAGCTGAATACACTCAGTGCCAAGTCATAGGCACTTTTTTGTGAGTTGCATCTTTACTATTTGTCCCTGCTATTAAAGGTTTTATAGTTTTACACTATGGGATGTCCTTTTTTGTTTCTATTTCTATGCTGACAATTTGCTAAATTGCCTGTGGAGGAGAGGAGGATTTCTGGGATTAATTTAGCATCTGAGGATTACTGGTTACCTTCCACAATGCTTCCATGGGAAGATATATTGGTTATTATGAGCAACGCTGTGGAAGAACATCGGTCATCAACATCACGTTGTGCATTGGGATAGTCCCAATAAAAGCACTAGTGATCATCCTAGAAATAAATGGTCATAGAATGACGGTGAGTGCAAATCCATGTGGGGCACCAGTCTGAGCACAGTGGAGCACTTGTCACTTTAATACGGAGCTCACAACCAAGAACGTAGCACACTTGCACCTTATTTTCACATATTGGGACTGCATACCTAATACAACCAGTTTAATTTGATGTTTATTGTTTATTACTTACAATTATTGATTATTTTTGAGTGTCAATTTTTTATTGTTTACACAACTTATGCGCGGTCCACATGGCATTTATGATCAAATCTTTGTCTTCTCTGCGGGGGGAACTACAGAAAGGTAAGTATTTGCAGATGGGAAGAGGGAAGTTGAGAAAACTTGTTATTTTGTCCTACATAGGGGAAAGGAAATTATTTCACATATACTAATATTGAAAAAAAAAACCCACTCTGGCTCAGTTCTTGCACTGCCTTGAAAATGTAATAATGTGCAACAATTTCTATCATGTTTTGCTGGATTTCTAGAACTACAAAGAGGAGCACTTTTATTAGACAATGTGGGAGAGATTTACTAAAACTGGAGAGTGCAAAACAGGTTGCAGCTCTGCATAGAAACCAATCAGCTTCCATTTTTTTTTTAGTCAAAGCTTAATTGAACAAGCTGTTAGAAGCTGATTGGCTACTATATACATCTCCACCTAATTCTGACTTCTCAGGTTTTAGTAAATCTCCCTCTGTGTGTTATCCTTTCATCTCTAGTACACACCTCCTACCTGGGTGATACTGTGGCTTTTATTTATTCCCTCTATGTGGTTTTAATTTAGGCAGTTCTGTGTTCCAGGGACCATCCCGTCATTTGAATATATGCCACTTTTAAACCATGGAAAGGACTCGGATTTTCCACCTGGATGCTCAGATTCCATACATTACAGAATTGGCTGTCCTCTGTTCTGTCTTTTTCCCACAATGCTTTTTCCGAAACTCTCATGCTTAATGAAGTTAGAAAATATAAAACCTTGCTGTCCTCCCGGTCTTCCATACTTCCTTTCCTACAAACACATGGCTGGGTAGGGATTCGGGAACCTTCTAAACACTATTTTGGGACATGACCACAAAAACAAATTCACATTTTTTAAAATCATAAATGTAATAAAGCATCAACTTGGCCGATATAAAAATATAAGAAAAAAATGTGATTATATATTCTTTTAGATTCAGAAATATGGTAGATGGCCGAGGAGATCTTAGCACATTAAACAAAAAACACTACAATACACTGTAGTATAGAATCCAAACATGGACAGGTCTATATTGCACTCTTGATATCTCACCTTGCACTTGAGTAATATGGATTTCCTTCCTCCTCAAATCGTTTGATTATTGGTTCCTTCAGAGCAGCTTCTTCTTTTTCGGGAAAACTAATAAAGTAATGCATAGATATTAAATGAAGCAATCTTTATATATTTTAATAACCAGCCTGTGCAGGCTGCACCACAGAGCATGCTAGTTCTTGGAACAAACAACAAAAGCTACAATCCATTCTCCAGCAGTAAATCAGGGGATAACACAATTGGGTACAATTGTGCAAATTTGTGTCACTTCACAATAGAGGATTTAGTTGTGGGCCGCTGGTGTCTGTAGGGGAGGGCCATGCCAATAGGCAAGAGGATGGGGGCAAAAGTTGTTAGCTCCCCCAAGTGCCCCAATCTGCCTTAAAATGGATCTTTCACCATTAATGTTACTTTCTCTCATTCACAGCACTAGTAAATAATGTTTCAAATACTGTGTAGCTCACAAAGAAATTATTTTAAATAATTCTTGGTGATGTAATTGGACATAAACACATCGCTAGCTTGTGACTACCACTGAAAACCAAGGAAACAGAAAGCCTGTTCAGTGTATCATAGAACATGGCCACAGGGCAAACAATTACATTTGTAATATGAATGCAAACAGGCAGACACTTTTTGACCTAATATAAAATCTTAAGTAATGAAACTGGCATGGGGCCTAAATGAATTTATCGAAATTAATAAAATGCATTCCCTTCAAAGTCTGACAAACGGCTGGTTTTATTGCATGTTTTATTAACGGCGTCACAAACTGGTGCTTTTGATGTACAAAGAAAAATAGATGGAAGAATACCAGCTCAATGTAGTAGACAGTCAAAATGGATATTTATATTAGGAAAAGCTGCCTGCTAAACAAAATCAGTCACTTTAAAAAAACAAAACTTTCTGTACATAGCAGTTATAGGCAAACAGCAATGACTATGCTCGATATGTAATTACCCACAGCAACCAGATTTCATTCTACTGTAGTCAGATCAGTAAAAAAAAAAAAGACGCATCATAATTAGTTGCTGTGGGTTATTGCATTGCTTTCTTAAACCACATGAAAACTGAATGATATTTAGTTTGCTAAAACACTGCACATCAAACAACTGCCTGGATTCTTTTAATAAAACAAAATTTGTTTCATCTTTTTTTCATCCTTTGTTACATCTCAGGTCTACTGATATTCTGCAGCCTTTTTCTACATACATACACTCCAGTGATGGCCATAGGGCATTTCTCAGGTCTGGTTTTCTGATGGTGACAACAGTAGGCCATGCCTATGTAATCTGTGTTGTAATGGCCATTTGCAGTCTCCATGGGAAGCCTGCATGACATGGTGACAATGCAGGAGCTCAATTGGGGGACAGGGACTGAGCATTGCCACTGTAATAACAGGAAGTGCCCAAACAAGAACCTTAATGGCAGGATCACCAAGTATTACATATCTTAATGAAAGCTGCAGATTTAAAACTTGTGAAACTTATGTTTAATTTATAACATTTTTATGTTTATTGGAGATTTTAGTGATGTTCGTAATCTCCCAGCATCAAGTATGTTATATCAAGTACTGTATATATAGCATGACCTCACACACTTGAGCAGGAATAGAGTAGAGAGCTAAAAATATTCGGCAGCAGAAAAATGAGTTCTCAGACAATAGCACTACTCCACATTATGTTGCTAACGATGTACATTTGGTAACAAAACAACCAAGCATGTAAACAGGATAAAACTACTTAAAGCCATAATTTGTGACACACTATATACTGGGTCCACTGCTAAAACCTGAAAGGTGCACCCCTTAAAGTAAATCTAAATCCAAACACTAAAATCTGGTAAAATCATAAACCTTAAAATCATAAAGTGTTACTAAACCCAAAACAGTAAAAGCCTGTATATGCAGTAAATCATGCTGGTTATACTCACCATGGAACCTAAGGGGTTAATCATCTGCATTGTGTAAAAAAGGCCATTTGATCCTGATTGCTCTGTTCCTCCCCTTGTTTAAGGGACCACGTCTTATCTCCTGATAAGACAGACTGAACCATAGGCATTTTGCACAGTTTGGTGTGTATTGTTAGAGATGTTTTTTTTTTTTTCTTGGGAAAGTGCATGTGATCAGCACAGGGCCAATCAGCGCTGCCCACACAGAGGTCAGGGATTTTGCATCCTCCTAGAGCAAAAAGAAAACTCCTCCTACAAGCTTTAGCTAGTGCTTAGCTGAACACTGATAGAAGCCACAAGACTGCTTTAACCTCTGATGAGAAAAGGTATTTAGCAGTGTATATTTACTAAAATAATTGTATTTCCATGCTGTGTGTACTGTGGGAGACCAGATATAGTGAATGCAGCATCCTGGTTTTAGTTACACTTTAAAGTCATTTCAAAATTTTCAAATTTGGAGCTTTTGTGTTTTTTTGGATAGGGGCAAATGCACATTCCTTTTCCCAATACTACAAGTAATAAGGGTATCTAGGTATCTAAGTGTAGACAATAATTTTGGAAGAAATTCATCATCAACTTTGTGTACCATCCACTTATCCAAGGGACACGGTCCCAAATTTTGAGTTATCCGATTTCCATTTCCTAAACAAAGAGAAATATTTACCTGGTGTGAACTATATGATGGCCTCCTAAAGTGGACAGAGCAGATATGGAGGAGGCTAGATCACCAATTTTGTTAAACATTTCCCAAGTTTTTAAGGTGGTAGAGAGGTCAGATGTCCCAGTAGAAAGGCCTCTGTGGTTGGCATGGAGCCATGGTGCATTGGCTTTATGAGCTGTCATGGACTTCTCTAGAGTAACTAATTGTTGTCTTTGATATTACAGCACCAATTAATTATTTTAAAAATGTAGGCATTCAAAGTATAGCATCACTAATCAGTTTACACATTCAGATGAAGAACGTTTATGGCAATCCTATCAAGACAGTATGTAGTAGATACATGACAAGAGGTAAAAAATTCATTTTAAATCACATTTTTTCTCCCTAGTCAAGTGAGAGGTATTCTACAATACATGGTGATCTCCTTCAAGGATGGAGAGAAGGTTATGACAGTTTGTAGTATATAATAGTTTAAGGTATTTTTCATACACAAAGGGAAAGCTGTTGCGCCAGTTCTGGGGGAAGGATAGTCAGGAGGATCTCTGAATTAATATAGTTAACAATAAAATCAGATAACTGACTAGCATGGCTGCGTTTTTTTTTTTTAGGTGAAAAAAGAAGATCCCCCACTCGCTGTCAAAATGGGGGGTGCGGGGTCATTTGCATCAGTAACATGTTACACCATAAATGTGTGTGTAACATGGAACATGTTAAGAAAGGTGAACTTATCTCTTAATGAAGTTTGTTTTATTGGAACAACATCAAATAAACACGTAAAACCACTTTTACTCCATAAATAGGTATCTATCTCCTATTACCACCGCTCAAACCATAGCAGCAGACGGAGCTGAGTAATCACTGGGAAGACAATGTGTTGTACATCTTGTAAAGCAATCGTAGGAAAGGGTAATTAGCAGGCAGATGGCAAAATAAAATTCAATAGTTTTTAACAGCTAATATAGGTTTATGCAATTTCAAGTTGGTTGCTCAGCATTTGAAGAGTTGTTATTTTTTAAGTTTTTATTTTAGTTTCATGCTTATATTAAAAACAGCTGCAATGATGTAGAGGCCACTTTGAGGAACACTTCTGTAACGTAGCAGACAGCTTGTAATACCTTGTGTGATGAAACATGTCTGATGGATTTGATAATACGGTACAAACAGTGCTTACCAATTACCCAAACTAGCACAGTAGAATTAGCGTTTTCATCTGTCTGTCTAACCAGTTCCAGACTTTGGGCATACAGCGTACGCCTCAAAAGGTTCAAAGTACCTACACTGTATGCCCTGGTCTTTGTTGGACAGCCAGATCTAGCTCCTGTATACACTTTCATACAGCATTCATCTCTTCCACAGTGACTTGTTTTGGGTGTGGATACACTTCAATCTATTTAGTCACTAATTCTACCTTGTGGAAAACGTCTGCACATTTTCACAGCTCTTACCATAGAAAACCTTGTCCAACTGTTGCAGTTAATCCCAGTTTCCTGTAGTAACAGAGTGCGCTCATGTCTTTCCTGGTTATGCTATAGTAATTATCTTTGCAAGGAATGGTCCGTATTTACTAAATATATGGTGTGCTTTCCAATACTTACTGTCTTTCCTTCTCTAGCTTTCTGATCTTTAGCAATTGTAGCCAACACTGTAGCAGCTTGTTCACCACCCATCACTGAAATGCGAGCATTGGGCCACATGTATAGAAAACGGGGGCTGTAAAAAGAACAGTTGTTACTAATACATAAAGTTCTATTTTATTCTGTTTGATACTTATGTACTAGATTTTTAGCAATCAAAAGCTAAGTGTATTAAACATTTGATGCACACAAAAAATAACCTATTTATTTAATTACATTTTCAATTTTTACCGTTTTTTTAAAGCCCAAATCCAGGCTCCATGACTGACCCCTCACCTCCCCCTTTTGTGCCACCTCTTATATATATTGCTATATATTTTTTTATATACTTACCTTTTCCAGATATTTTCAGGCCAGTCATATGATGCCACTGATGCAGAGAGCAGTGGTGATATGATAATATCAGTGACACTCTGCATCAGTACACTACGAATAAAAGGTGCTGCTAAAACTCCCATTAGAATGAGCCCATGATGCCCTCCACTCACAGTATGTCCTCAATCTTCTGAGTCACAGGACATCATTTATCCATGAAGACTGATGGCATCATGTGGTGGAGATGGGGTATTACGGGCAGGGACAATTCTTCCACTAGGCAAACTAGGCAGCCGCTCTACCACCTAGGGATGCCTGGACGTAGCACAGGCCAGCACTGTCTCTGTGTGGCATGCCGCCATGCCATGAATGATCCTTCAGCTGAGAGGAGGGGTGGCAGAGAGGAGGAAAAAAAGGACAGATGAAGATGCTGGGTGTCTGGGGCCAGTGTAGCATCTCCATCCAGTGTTCCTCTCAGACGCAGTCCCTTACTGCAAGCCAGCTGGGGGGTGCTGATCACTTTGGAGTTCTAGCCCTTCTCTTCCAATTCATCAGTGGAGGCAGAGCTGCGCCTGCAGAGGAAGGTAATGTCTGCCTCTGATGTCTTGTGGCTGTGTGAGTGTGACTCGGCCAGTCATCTATCTCATGTGCAATGTGTCAGTGAGTGATGACATCATCACAATCCCACAGCCTGCTCTTCTAGTGCCTGCTGATCTGTGTCAGTGTTGGTGGTGGTGTGTTTTGTTGGATCTGTCACTGTGTGGGATCGCTCAGTTCAGCTGCCTGCTGTCACAGTGTTTTTCTCCCCCCATTGCCTGGGGAATTCCAGCCTGGGATCTGTTGGAGTGGATCCATCATCCTCCACTCACTACAACTGTCACCCTGCCACTGCGAGCCACAGATACAGTCCATCCGAGACACTAATTTTGTCTTTAATATTGGTGCTGGTGGTATCTTATGGCACTTATTTTTGCAAATTAAAAGAAATTTATAATTTTCACGTTTTGTGATGATTTAATATTTTCTACTGTTGAGGAGGGTGGTAAGTAACTGGTCTTGCCTATGGTGCAAAATAGTCTAGCACTGGCCCTGATATAGCCTGGAGAATCATATAAAAAGAAATCCCCAAGTGGGGCTCTAAAGGCCCAAAATTCCACTTGAATGCTAGACTTACATGTTACAGTTGTTTGTAACAAATGACTGTATCCTTCAAATCTAATCGTAAAATATTTGTTTTAAATGCCCACACACACAGCCCGAAACCTTATCAGTTCAGACCATTACAGAAAACCTGTACTGAGAGAAATCCAAGGTGCCTGGCGGTCTCTGGCTTCAGTACCTTCTGAAGAACTGACCCCAAACAACCATACAAGGCATTGAGGTCAAACAGGTCAGTGATTTAACCGCTTGCTATATACACGGCCTCAGCAGTAAGCAGTTTATACCAGGATCATGGCTGCAGAGTGTATGCACAGAAGATATGGAGGTTTGCCCTATCTCCACTATGAAGTAGGAAGCTGGAAAAAAAGAGGATTTCATCACTTCCAGTTTCAGAGCTGTATTTGCCTGCCTGGTACAGCCAGGGAAAAATCTGACCAAACCGATCTGTGTTTGATCAGATGCTTTGAAGGATAAAGGAGAATGTTTTTTAACACAAACTGACAGGGCCAATTCGATTGTTTTGCAGAATGGTCAGTAAGTGTGCAGGGAAATCTTTTGTTTGCTTGTTTATGCTGTGCTTTGCCCTTCCATATGCACCTTGCTGTATAGGCCAGTTATAGATTGGGGTGGTTGCCATTTTCTTGCACAGTTGGACGATTTGGGTGCTATTGTTCTCTTGCTGGGCGACACGTGTGTCCCTGTGCTTTTAAGGAAAAGTGGGCAACCTCCAGGCACACCTGTCCCTAATCTATACCTTCTTGTATATACTCCTACTATGGAGACTCTGGAAGTTTAGAGTTAGAACCACAGTATATACAGAGGTCCTTTGGCCCTATGGACAATTTTAGGTACCATAGTTTATCGCCATATCACAGATGTGAGCAATTTTAAATCTTGACTTGTTTGGTATCTATTTACTTGACTCAACATTATATTTTACCCAAAAAATTGGGTATGATATTATGCTTATGTGCACTAAAATTCATCAAAATTCAAATGTTTTTTTTCTTGAAAATTTGATAAACCGACTTGTACCCTGTACAAATATTGTGCGACATAGAAAACTGCAACAGCGACCAATTTATTTTCCAGGAAGTCTTTCAAAAAAATATAATGCTTGGGGGTTCTAAATGATATTATAGGGAAAAAAAATTGCAGATTTGGACATGTATGTGAAAATTTTAAAAAAGTTGAGCCAGCAGGCAAGTGGTTAAGAATGAGCCTCTCCTTTATCAGTTTTACAGTTTCATCCCTCACTTTCTACACATTTATGAACAATTTGAAATGTCAACTATACAGAATACATTTTCCATACAATTTAGTAAACTGTGCATGTTTTGCACAAAAAATCCATTTATATCTCCTTGCCAGTGGGTGGACAAAGACACCAAACAAAAGCCAGCAGTTTGCAATTTATGACACTGCTTACCTCATAATATAATGTGTGATTACTTTGATATATACCATTCTATACAGTGAAAGTATTCCAGACAGATAAACACCGACCTGTAAGCTCTGCCACACATTCCATAATTTCCTGCACCATAAGAGCCTCCAATAATAACAGTAATTTTGGGCACGCTGGCACAGGCTACAGCTGTAACCATTTTGGCTCCGTCTTTAGCTATTCCACCAGCTTCATAATCACGTCCAACCATGAAACCTGAAAGAGGTAGATTGATTGCTGATGTTATAATAACATTATTTATTTTCAATTTGTGTAATGTAAAGCAGAAGTCAGGATACCAAAGAGATCAGTAGAAAAACCCCAGTACATTAATTAGGATCTTCTATACAAAATAAATTGTACCTCAGATTTCATGTTACATGATACAACTGTTTTGCTTTGTATTTTAAAACATGCAGCCTAAGAGGCCCAAGTCGGTAACACATGGTGTAGTCACACCATAATGAAGGGAGATTTGAGCTGAAGATAGGTATGACACAGGGAGGTAATATACTGCAAAACAACTTCTATGGTTAGAAGAAGTGGCAAAGGAGGTGCTAATGGGACTGGAGGGTCCTTCCCACCATGCATAATCATCCTTTTTCCTGTATTGAAACTCATGCATTTTACTGCATGAAAATGCAATTCAACCAGAAACCCATTCATTACTATGAGGCTAGCTCATGCTGATGCACTGCAGATGTGCACATTCTCATATTATAGGACCAGCTGCATTTTGGGCATTTAGGAATTTTTAGACCCCCATTAGGAGCCAAAATAGAATGCGGACAGGGAGGCAAGAGTATCACATTACACATAGGATGTTTATTCAGTCTTTGTATATTCAGCTATACCGGCAGAAGAGTGTTGGGGGTCGATTAAAATGCTTGACAATGGTTTCATTTTTGCCTTTTAATATTACACTGTGGGATATTTTTCGATTTACAAAAACAAAAGTTATTAATTTTCAAGTTTTACATTAGAAAAAAGGTGCAAACACCAGTCAAAAGCTCAGGGAAGTGATACATGCAGTATGACAAACAAAAGCACACTGCATCAATTGTTTCAAGGTCATGATAACTCTTGACAGTGAGGCTAAATGCATAAGTTACTACTCAACAGTGTGCTAAAAAAAATCATGGAATAAAGTGCCTAATTTTTTACAGCCGCAGAAACACTTGAGGGATACCGTTGCAATAAATTTATACACATGGTTCTGGGTCGTGTACCATCGAGAAAATAGTGTGTAGGTGTTTTCCTGGGCAAAGATATTCCGGGAGCATTTGTAGGCGGCTAACCAGATCTTAGTCCATGTGGCTTGGTCTGTGGTTTTGCCTAGGTCGGTCACTCACTTCACCGTGTAAAAAAGTGGGCGGGAGAAACATAGGAAGTCTGAGATGAGGCCTTTCAAGTAGGGGTCCTTTTTCTACAAAGATTTTTAAATGGAGTCAGAGGTTTAAGTGGTCCCTCGTGGCAATGGAGTTGGTTACGAACATGATAGTTAAGTTGGATATACCGATAGTACTCATTGGCCGGCATTGCCAATCCTCCTGCAAGTATTGAAAACACTTGACCCCATCCAGGGCAAGGAGTTCATAGACATATCTAATTCCTCTCTTGCGCCACCAACCGAAAGCTGATTTACATATACGGGGCAGCACTGTGGGTTGTCTAGGACACCAGAAAGAAGTAGGTAAGAGGAGAGCAGTCAACGGGGGTATCCACAAAATCCCATAGGGAATGAAACAGAATAGGGTCATGAATCTGGGGCCTATAACTGGGAGACATTCAGAGAAGATTTATAGAACAGAAAGGGGGAGCATTTTGTGATTGCAAAATGGACCCAGATTGGAATTTCAGAGGTAGCATGGAGAAAAACTAGGGGGGTGATCTGAGCTCCAGTGTAATAGTGCTTTAATTGTGGCACTGCAAGGCAGCCTTGTAGTCTTTGGCGGTACAGGACAGGGGCCGGCAACCATTGTGGGATATTGTTGGAGGAGGATTTACATTTAATTTGTATCTGGAATAAAGGATTTTTATTTTTGTATTCTTTGTTATACGCTTATCATTACTTTTCCTGCCATATCTATAATCTCTAGTGTTGTTGGCACCCGGAAGCTTCCTAATTTATGTGTGGAAAGTGACTGTGTACATTGGATGCTTTCTCTGACGCACATGCATTAGGTCCGGCTCGCTAATAGTCTCCATGCACTGCCCACAGAAGGAGGCATATAACCTGGAAGTATGTGGTCACATGACCACCAAGACATTTCTGTAGCAATTTTTGAGGATTTCCACTTAAAATGGTTTTAAGGCAGTTCTTCAGGGTGAATAGGGACATTTGATGCAAATTCTCTTTCCATCTACTTTAAAAATAAAAGCAGACCTCTATAGACTCTACTTGCATGACATTCTGATGAGAGCTTCTAGTAACTGAAGTGTCCTTGAGAGGCTGTATCTAAATGAGCTTCTAGTCAATGAAATCCACTCTTATGCTTTCAAAAAGCTGAGACCCATCATGTGAAATCTATACAATAAATAGGCCATGCTGCTTACTCAGTTATTGTAGATTATGTAAAGTTAATTATTCTAATTAGTGTTATTTATTACGTATATGTTAAATTGCAATTTTTTTTTAATTGCATAATAAAGACTAAAGTTCTAATGTAATTTAAAGCAACCCTGTCAAGAATATCAAAACGGACAAAATAATTTTCAAAAGGAGAATGTAAATGCTCACCTTCCTGTCTCCCTGCCCATGCCACTTGTTCAAAGTGAATTATCCCCCCCCCCCAGGTCTGCTGAGAAACTGATACTTGGCAGAAAAGTGTGCATAGCTCTGAGCAAGTTTAAACTTGAACGTCTGGTGGCTGAAGCAGTGTAGATCAGGATTGCTTGGTAGATCTGTATTAATGCCCTGTGGGGCTTGTGACGTTTCCTAGTCAGCACAAAGTACAGTTTGCTTTAAAGTAAAAATGTGAGCACATCTTCCCTTCTAAAGTGGCCATGGATCCTTTAAGCATACACAGATTATCTTCAGTGCACCATGGAATCCCTCAAAATTTGGGCCACTGACAATCACCTCTGTGATCACTCTGCAGATCCACTTTGAACAAAGTTAGAAAAAAAAAAGTGAATAGTGAGATGCACTGAAATGTGATGCCAGACATCACACAAGCAGAAAGTTACTAGCCGGCACAGAAAAACGCAGAGGCTTACTGTGCAGGCTAGTAATAGCCCTTGCTTTGTTTTTACAGTATTCATTCCCGAGTTTTATGCAGCCAAACTGAACAAGCTTTTCAGTGCGATTCTATGCAGTATTGAACTGCTTTGTCACATGATTAGCAGCAATTTACCGGTCCCTCTGAGCAGTAAGGAGGAAACAATAGGAATAGTTTTTATTGCTATCAAGCAACATGAGGGTCGCAGGACATGATTTACAAATTTCTCCAATATTAACCACAGCTGACAACACTTGAGTTGAAGTGACTTTCCTAGTCCTTATTATAAATCAAAAAAGTAAATTGTACAAAAGGAGGAATATTTCTACCAGCATGTGGACTAGTTGAAGATATATCTAACTTCATATAGGTATTACAGTTATTTTGGGTATCCTGTTGAACACAGTAACAAAGTAAAAGGAGATATGCAAGTCAAGGATGGGCCACAGATCCCTCTGCTGGCTGTCAATCATCACGATTGTATCTGCAAAAACTATTTAGAATTTCACATCCACACACGTCCTAATAGGTAAGCTGTAAAAGTATTAAAGAGTAAACTTAAAGGAAAAGTGTGGGAAATCAGAATAACATCCTTCTAGAGCCTGGACCAGCTCCATGATGTCAGCCGACAGAAGGCTTTAGCTGGGTCACAAAAGTGTATAACTACTGTAAGTGCAGTCCTGTAACTCAGAAGAGAAGTATGGCTAAAAAGCTTTGGCCATACTTCTCTTTTAACTGTGGCCAGGCTGTATTTACATCATGTATCATGTATTTAGATAATTATTTAACAAGAAGTAACTGTGGAGAAATGTATCCTCAAAAGATATGCTGAAGTCTTCCAAATGGGGCGGCACAGTGGCTTAGTGGTTAGCAAGTCTGCCTTGCAGTAAAAGGGTCATGGGTTCGATTCCCGACTATGGCGCCTCCTGCATAGAGTTTGCATGTTCTCCCTGTGCTTGCATGGGTTTCCTCCGGGTGCTCCAGTTTCCCTCCACACTCCAAAGACATTGTCAGGAATGGACTCAGCACTGGTGGTGGGACTCGCCTGCTGTGTGGGCTGCAGTACCAGAGCTGACCAGCGGGTGCTCTCAGCACTGGTGGTGGGACTCACCTGCTGCCGTGTGGGCTGCAGTACCAGAGCTGACCAGCGGGTGCTCTTAGCAGCCAGAAGCTCACAATCAGCCAAACCTGGGGCTGATTGCAGAAAGGTGTATATAAGGCATGACCAGGCCTGTGCTCTGGGCCTTGGTGTATGTTTTCCCATGAGCCTCTGTACCTGGTATCTTGTGTTCCTGCTTCGTTGCTGACCCGGCTTGATCCTGATCTCTGCTGACCGTCTCCTGTTGAACCCCTGGCTTGCCTGACCATCTTTCTGCCTGATCCCCTGTACCGCGCTGTCTGTGAGTTACTGAACCCGGCTTGTGACCTTGACCATTCTCTGTCTGCTCCTTTGGTACCTTGCTGCCCGCACGTTGCTGACTTGGCCCGTCTGACCACGCTAACTACTCTGCCATCCATCCATCCTGCACGGATCCAGCCGTACCTGCACATACCTCTGGCGGGTCCCTCTACCACTAGCAGGTGTACTCAGGGGCCGCGACCTGGTTCCTGTCTGCTCCAAGTCCATCCCCACCATCAGGGGCCCTTGTGAATAAGCAGACTGGGACTTAGACTCCGCGCCCTGGGGAATCCTGTCCTGGGGACCACTAGAGGTATCACCAAACGGTCATTACAGAACCCTACGGCCGGCCTGACCGTTCCACCTCTCCAGCCCTGACTACGCCTGTGTTCCTGCACCTACTAAGATTAGTGGAAGGTTGGTTTGTTCACTGTGCGTTTATATATATATATATATATCGGGGTGGCTAATAATAAACTGTATTATTATACTGTACCTGAGACCTGCGTTTCCCTGTGTCAGTCCACACCTTTCTGGTCATTCCTAGATTCCTGACAGACATGCTGGTAGGTTAATTGGATCCTGTCTAAATTGGCCCTAATATGTATACGTATGAATGTAAGTTCGGGACCTTAGATTGTATACCCCTTGAGGGTTAGGGACTGATGTGAATGTTCAATATATATAAGTACCTGAAATAAATAAATCCTTCTCTCAGCAGGTCAGCACTCCATGCTCCCTCCAGCCCCCCACCCCAGAACCTCTGCTCTGAGTTTACATTAGAGATTAGCCAGATAGAAGACTGCTGAGCCACTGTGCTGAGAAGGAGGAAAAAAGTGTGAGCTTCTGAGAGAACAGAACTTAAAGTGGTCCTAAAGACTTAAGGTTTTTTTTTACCTTCATGTATTCTATACACGACGGTAAAAAAAAAAACTGTGTGCAGTGCCCTCCTTCAGCCCCCCCAATCCTTACCTGAGCCCCCTCCGATCCAGCAACGTTCTCGACAGCCTCTGCTGTCTGGGGACTCTTCCTCCTCATTGGCAGAGACAGCAACAGGAGACCATTGGCAGTCAATCACAGCCAGTGAACCAATGAGGAGAGAGTTGAGGGGGTGGAAGAGGGTGGGGGGTCAAGCCACAGCTATATGTGTCTTATGGATGCATAGAGCAGTGGCTCAGGAACGAGCACATAGTGGTGCCCCCAGGGCAAGCCAGGAGCGCTGGTGGGGACCCGAAAAGAAGAGGATCAGGGCTGCTCTGTGCAAAACCACTGCAAAGAGCAGGTAAGTATAGACATGTTTGTAGGTAGATAGCCAAGACTTTTAGTTTTGTTATAAATTGCCTAAACCAGAATCAGGTGTAACAGAGTAACACAATGTAGCAGCACTATTTGCAACACTCACCTGTAATGTTCTGCAAGAAAAGGAGGGGAATGTTTCTTTGGCAACACAGCTGAATGAAGTGTGTGCCCTGTAAAATGGAAAATATACAATATGATCGCACTGTCACACAACATACAACTTATTTTGGTTAACATTTTGCACTGCTTCCCATCTCCACTCTCAGCTTCTTTTCGATAGCAGCACAAGGTAAGGGCACTGCACTGTGATGAAAGGGAGGGTAGGGGATGCTTGACTTCTGATGGTGGAGGAGCTCTTGACATCTGATGTAAGGGGGATGGGGTGCTCTGGACATCTGCTTATAATTATTATGAGTACAATACAATTTTATGCGAGTTGAAAAGGAGGGTCGCACACTGCTGGCATCATCCACAAGAAATTTTATTGGAGACTCCTCAGATAGAAACCATAGCAGAACCATGTTCAGTCTGAGCAGTCTCCAAAATGTTTCTTGTGGATGATACCAGTGGTGTGCGACCCTCCTTTTCAGACTTGCATCATCTGCTACAGAAGTGTGAGTGGGCTCTGTGCTGGTCTGGCCTTCACAACTTAAGGCTTATGTTATTACTAAAACCAGTAATAAAAGAACATAGAGGCAATTAATATGATAAAGAGTAGATACATTTATATAGTCTTACAGATAGAACCGGCCATATTGCTGATGCGGCCTGCAAAGTAATTGAGTTTGACACCCCTGAAGCAAAATATTCCTGGGGCAACAAAATGCAAGCTGTGCAAAGTCTTACAATATCTTTTCTGTAAAAGGTAGCCACATCCAGGGCACAAAAATAGAATTTTTGTACTAAAAAATAAAAACCTTACCATAAAACCCTTTTCTTTGAGGCCATAAATAGCCATGGGAATTCTGCCTACAGGAGGACTGTATACTGCTATCTACAGGAGAACTGAACACTAACATAAAAAAATGTAGGCCAGCCCTGGGTTTAACCCCTTCACTACCAGCATGCCTCAGTTTAGTAGCAAAGCAGTATCAAGGGCATGCATATAGAGAGAGGTGTGAGACCTGTGTCCCTCAATGGACTCAGAGAAAATTACATTTACAGGGAGTACAAAATTCTTATTTTCTCTTATGCAGTGCAGGACACAAGAATTATGAAACCTTTGGGGTGTCCAAAAGCAGTTCAAATGAGTGGAGGGTAACAAAATAAAAGAATACAGCTAACAGGTTCAATAACAAACAAGAGCAAGGGACTGCCTACAGGTGAAAGAGCTGTCCTAATGGCCCTGCATCTGCAACTGGCATCAGATTAGGCAGAAACGTCCACCTGGTAAAACATAAGAACAGAACAGAAGACTAGGTGGGCAGTCTTACAAACCTGGAAACAGAGACCTGATGCTAAAATGCCCAAGAAGCGCACGCAGCCTTAGTGAAGTAAGCTTTAACTGGAAAGGGAAGAACCTGATCCTTGAGACCACAAGCCTAGAAATGGTAAAAACAAAAAAAGAAGTGGCACATCCTTCCTGAGCCCAGTCGGAATAGAAAAAGGGAATCGGTGTTCTTAAAAGAAGCTTTCACCAAAGGAAAAACTCAGACAGCTTGAACCACATCCAAACCATTATTTCTGGTAAACTGGACCCAAGGATGGAAGGACATGGTTCTGGTTTAGGAGAAGGACGTTATTACCTTAGGAAAGCCTAGGCCTCATCACCATCTTGTCCTTATGTAGATAAGGCCACTAGTTCTAACACTTGCCTACCCCCCTGCTAACTTGCCGACCTCCTCCACTCTTCCTACCACTCCATCCCCCACAGCTTTCTCCTCCTGTGCCACATCCCCTCCCTCCTAGATTGTAAGCTCGAAAGAGCAGGGCCCTCGATACCCTCATGTTTTGCATTGTATTGTTATTGTTCTGTCCCCCATTGTAATGTACAGCGCTGAGCGAACTATTGGCACTTTATAAATACTGTATAATAATAATAGTTGAGGTAATGGATACATTGAAAATAACCTTGGAAGTCAGAGCGGCAGAAAAATGTCTCTGATAGGATCAAAAGGGGTTTCCTCAGTACTGAGAAGACCAGATTTTAATCCTACAGTGACAGAAGAGATTTGACTGGGGAAGCCACAACGGATACCCTTTACACCAAAGTCTTGATTAGAGAGTGGAAAGTCAAAAGGTCTCTGCAAAAGTAAGAACAGAGATCTGACCTTTGATGGCACTAAGGGACAAAATGTTGAACTAGACCCACTACATGAAAGAATTAATCTGTCCCACATAGAAAGTTTTGGGGTGAAAGTCAGCAGATCCAGACTGGCAGAGCCCACGGCAAGTCTGCGAGAAGTCTTAACAGGTCACATCATGTACCACACTTTCCTGGCCCTATCAGGGGCTATGAGAAAGATGCCCTCGGTCCTGCGAATCAGGTAAGGAAGAAGCTTCAGGGAAGGAAAGGCATACATCAGATAGCCCTGATTCCACAGAACCATTACCTATGTAAGCGGATTCCAGACCTGGACCCAAACCTGTCCAGTGTGTTGTTGAAAATAAAGGTCAGAAGGTTCACATATGGAATCCCCCACCTGCAACACAGGTCTTGGAATACCTCTGGTGCAGAGACCACTCTCCTAGGTCCAGACGCTGTTGGCCAAGAAAATCTGCCTTCCAAGTGTCCATGCTGGTCATGTACATGGCTGACAGAGCTGAACATAATGTTTGCCCAAGACAGGATTTGCTTTACATGGTTTGCCACAGCGAGACTTTTTTTTTTTTTTTTAAATATTTATTCATTTTCCATATAAAATACAAATTTCATCATTACTCTCATATAACATACAAAACTTTCAGCTGTATCCAAACCATTAATTATATCTCTTTCTATCTTTATTCCCCCCCCCCCCCCCCCCAACTAATACCCCCACCTGCCCCGAACCCCCCCCCCCCCCCCCCCCCCCCCCCCCCCAAGTAAAACCACCCACTCTGCATTTCTCATTACATCTTTTCCTAAGTAATATGTACTTTCACCTATCCCATTCTACTACTTCATATATTTCACCTTGGATACAAAATCTTCCCATTTTCCCCTCCTCCTGTAATATAACCCCATCTTGTCTTCTTGCATATATTACAGTTTCTCCATCCTACATATCTGGTTCAATCTTTCCACCCAATTCTCTTCTCTCAGCACCTCTGAGCTATGCCAAAACATAGGTATCAGACTCTTTGCCGCGTTCAGATAGTACCATGTACCCGAATCCTTGTATTTATTCACTGATAGCTCTGAACTATGTAGTAGACACAACTCTGGGTCCAAACCTATCTTTGTCCCAGAGATTATCCCAAATAAATGAACCATTGTCCCCCAAAAACCTTGAAATCTTGGGCACTCCCACCATATATGATATAACGTACCTATCTTTCACACCCCCGCCAACACTCTGGTGTATTCTCCCCACTCATCTTGTATTCAACATTCGGTGCAATGTGCCATCTTGTTAAACACTTATAGTTTACCTCCACCTCTCTCGTGCTTATATTCTTGTGTGTTAGTCTATATATTTTCGTTTGTTTGCCTTTATCTATTCCCAAATCCCTTTCCCATTTTACTATGTGCATTGACTTGTGTGTGTGTGTCTAACTCAGTGAGAATCTTATAAACTTTTGCCGTGCCCTGTTTCCCATCTCCACGTGATTCCAACAGCCTCTCAAACAGATTCCAATCCTTTCTCAATCTCAAAGGTTTCAGAAGATTCCCGACAAAGTGTTTTAATTGGTGATATCTCCACTCATTTATCTTAATAAAAAGTTCCCTTTTGTCCTTTTTCAAATCCTTACGTGTTCTCAATTCCTGCCCTTCCATAATATCCCTCAGTTGAATATCCTCCTTTTTAAACCATTTTCCTGTGCTCTCCTCCCTACCTGGAGGAAAATACTCCGTGTTCCTTAATTGTGAATTAAAATCCCATTTCATAAGCTTGTGCAATTTGTCCCAAACCTTTAAAATATTTAATGTATAAACACTCGTAGTATTTTTTAATCCTCTGTATTGTGCTGGTAACCATATGATTTTACTCAAGTCAACTCCACTTAATTCATTTTCAATCTTAACCCACCTTTTCCCCTCTGGATTGTGTGTCCAGTCATAAATTCTTGCTGCTCTATAATACCTCTTAAAATCTGGCACTCCCAATCTTCCCCTCTCTTTATTTCTACTCAACAAATCATAAGATATTCTAGGTATTTTTTATTTTTCCATATGTATCTTGTTAACATCTTTTTAATTATCTTGAAAAAAACCTCCAGAAGTTTAACTGGGATCATCTGAAATGTATACAGGATTTTAGGTACAATTACCATTTTTATCAGATTTATGCGCCCTATCCAAGACGGATTACTTCCTCCCAATTTCTTTAATTCCTCCTTAATCTCATTTAAAAGTGGGATATAATTTGATTTATACAAGTTCGTATGCGAAGCAGTGAGTTTAACCCCTAGATATTTTATCTCTCTCTATCTTTTCATATAAAAGGGAATTCTTTTTGTATCTTTTCTTTTTCACTATTCGGAAGATTTACATTTAAGATCTCAGTTTTTGTTGGGTTGATTTTCAAATTTGATAACTCCCCATAATCCTTTAAGCTCTTCGTTAAATTTGGGAGTGTTATCCTAGGATTTCCCACATAGAACAACAGGTCATCCGCAAAGGCTGCCACTTTATGCTCAATTCCTCCTATCTGTATTCCTTTTATGTCCATATTTTTCCTAATTGTTGCCAGCAAAGGTTCCAATGATAATACATACAACAATGGCAACAGTGGGCATCCCTGTCTTGTTCCATTTGACATCCCAATCGGTTCAGACCTCTCTCCGTTAACACACAATAACCGCTGAGGGCTCTCTATACAATTTTCCTATCCATTCTCTCATTCTAACTCCCAATCCTAGGGTCTCCAGAGTGTCCATCATAAAGCTCCAATCTACTCTATCAAATGCCTTTTCAGCATCAATCGAAAGCACCACTACTGGAGTTTTCCCCTTCCTAGGCTTCTGGATAAGCAACAAAGTTCTCAACCCATTGTCTCTACCCTGCCTCCCTGGCACAAATCCCACC